TATTTATGTGACCTTCCTGATAACTCCTGCCACTCCTCTCTTCAATACCTATGATGATCATTCCATAATAGCAAGCAGCTTTAATCATGGGAGCTACTAGAAGCTGTGATTTACCTAGTGCATACTGTTTCCAATCCAAAAAAGAAGGAAGAAAACAAAAGTGGCAACTGGTCATCACTCAGAATTTGTATTGAATGTTGTGATTTTTGCTTTTGAAAGTTATACCAGCTAAGCTGTTTAGCAAATAATCTGCATGCACCGTACATGTAAACTAAAATAGAATACTATTTCCTGATAGCATTTTGCTGTTTTGTTTAGAATAGGTAGCTCTTTTAAAAGGATTAATTAAATTCTATCTAATTACCCAAGGCAGTGGTTAATACTGGCTCTGGAGAGGATTACAAAGGAGTGAAAGAGACCTTTCTACCTAATCTTGTATACCTTTTTAATTTGGGACCATGTCTGTATATTTCATCTAAAACCACACACATACATATATACACGTAAAATGTAAAGTATAAATAAACTCCATATCTTGAAACATGGTGTATTAGGTGCATGAATCAACTCTCCTACTGAAAAAAAAAATTATTGGGTAAAATACTAAAAAACATACCTTGAATGCATTTCTTAGCCAATGACTATTAGCTAATCAATGTTTCTATTAGTAGGAAAGTAAGAAAAGCTCAGATCAGAGACCAAATGATAGCAGGAAACTCAGAGGGGTCAGTGGAGGCTGAAACTGACCTTATCCTGAAGATATTTGTCTAACTAGGTGAACCTAAACATTGCATTCACAGCCTTATGAGGCTAGGGACAGAAGACAAATCCTAGGGTTTATCCAAAATGAAGAGTCTAATAGATCTTTTTCCACAAAGTTGAGCTACTTTCTCAGTAGAAGAGCAAACTAAAAATAACCTCCTCACTAGCTTGTTCAGCTCCAGGGAATAACTTGGGTGCTGAATTAAGGAGAAAAAAATCTTTCCTTAGAATTCGTAACCAAAATAAATGCAGCCTTTATGCAGATTATAACTTGAATTCACAATATCTCAAAGGCTCAAAAAATTTGAAGCTGAGGATTTAGTATAAGTAATACATGAACTATAGTTCCCTGTTGTCTATTAGAAGCAAATATTTTCTAGGGAGTTGTCCATCTCACACTTCAACATGTTTTGCACAGCTGAAGTTCCAAGGAAAATGAACAGCTAGCTCTTGTAAAGAAAAACACTACACACACAGAGGAACAAGGTAACAGAAGAAACTGCAAATCACATACAGAATATAAAATGTTTAATGTTTCAATAAAGGAGAGGCTTGAAAATGAATGAAGATGTTGAGTGGAAAAATCAAGTCACACAAAACAACACCTACATTATGATTTCATTGATATGAAGGTCAAACACAGATAAAACCAAACAATATACATTTTAGGAGAGCAATACACGGTTGCTTAAAATAAAAACTTGTAAAGAAACGAGCGATTAATACAATTCAAGATAGTGGTTCCTTTCTGGGGGAGGAGAGGTATGTGATCAGAAAGAGGCACACCGGAGGTGTGGTAATATTTCATTTCTTAACCTGGGTGGTAGGAACATGAACACTTACTTTGTTTTTAAATTGTATATTTTCACATGTTCTTAAATATATGCTAAATTTCTAATAAAAAGGAACTATGTAGTAAACACATAGTATAAAAACACATGTATAAAATCTATGTTATTTTTTCTTAAATCTTTATTTGAAATAAATTATTTGAAATACTCTGATAGTGGGAACTATAAGATTTAAGAAAAATTAGAGTATTTTAAATATTTAGCAAAGCTTGTGGTTTAAGGAAACTTCTTTACTATGATGAAACAATTTTCTTCTCCAACCTTCACAGCAAAAGCATTAACTTTGGCTATTATTAATCTTCTTTTTTTTCTACTTTGCAGCAAGATGAGAAGATGAAGTGAATTTATGGATTCTGGTTTTTCTGAATGTTCAAAGCATAAGGAATCAAAACAGAAAATAACTAGTATCAAGAAGATGAAATGCTTGATGAAAAGCTTTTTTTTTTTTTTTATTTTTTATGGATTTTTTTTTTGAGACGGAGTCTCGCAGTTAGTAGATATATATGCATAAAATAGCTATTTTATAGCATTAAACTTTTCAAATCATTTTGGTCATCATGTAACTTATGTTCCTGTTTATTTAAGCTTCTTTTTATCTAATAGCCCAGAGGTAAAAAGAAGCTATTAGCTAAAAAGAAACTTAAATAAACAAGAACTTAAGTTGCAAGATGTAACCAAACAATAGCTATTAACCTTTTAACCAAATAAAATGTGTTAATAAATACCTTTCCATTGGTTATCTTGTATACAAGGCTGTCTTGTTTGCTGTGTTTTTAACCTATTAAATACATGTGGACATCTAAAAGGGCTTAAAACCACCTCCTTCCGTGACCTGTTTCCTCTCACCCTTCATTCTTCTAATTTTCAGAAATATGTGTTGAATGTCAGCTTCTGTATTACTTCTATTATATGTAATCTGATGACTTAGAGGAGGAGATTAACCTTTCAGACTCTTTTGAATTTGGTTTTTATAACTTTGTTTCAAAGATCACTTAGTCTTCCAGTAATAAGAAATAATAAATCCTGTTCATATCTGAGATCAATACATAGCTTATTGGATTCAAATGACTACTCAAACTCTATTCTACCTAGATGGAAAACTGTTTTAGACAATATCTGACCACTAAAGGGGTGAGCCCAGAAATCTGCATCTTAATCAAATGCTTCAGATAAGTCTGTCCAAGGATTGTGCTAGTACCACACTTTGAGAGACTGCAGTAGGGGTACAGAGTGCTGTAGGGTATGGTCAATAGCTCTAGTGAAAGATGGATGGTTTTATTTAAAGAATCCCAGTTGATGAATAAAGAAGAAATGCTAGAATTAGAAAAATTGCAACTCCTTACTAAAACTTCTGCTCAGACAATGCTCAACAATGGATGTAAAGCAATTAGGTGAAATGTTGATGGAGACATTCATTATGAAGGGATAACTCTTTGAACCCACTGTTCATTGTCAGCATCATTACAACTGAAACAACGAGACACCATATGCTTCCTACTGTACTGCAGTATTAAGTATATGGTATCACCTATGAAGTGTTCTCTCCCCCCAAAAAATTGAACCTGAACTTAAAGCTTTAGATCTAATATTTAGCGTATAAAAAATAAATAAGGTAGAAAAATAACACTAAGGAGAAGCAATTACCCACATTGAAAAAGTGGTTCATTTCAATAGGATAACTTACCTGGTTTCTTTTTCAACATGTTAACAGTGTTAAAAAGTCTGTTTTAGATCACAGAAGACTGACAAGACCACATGCAAATACATTGCACAGCTCTTGTTTGATTCAAAGAAGTCAAGTATAAAAGACTTTTTTAGGCCAGAGTCGGTGGCTCATGCCTGTAATCCCAGCACTTTGGGAGGCTGAGGCGGGTGGATCATGAGGTCAAGAGATTGAGACCATCCTGGCCAACGTGGTGAAACCCTGTCTTTACTAAAAATACAAAAATTAGCTGGGAATGGTGCCTGTAGTAGCACGTGGCTGTAGTCCCAGCTACTGGGGAGGCTGAGGCAGGAGAATCGCTTGAACTGGGGAGGTGGGGGTTGCAGTGAGCCGAGATCGCGACAGAGCGAGACTGTGTCTCAAAAAAAAAAGACTCAGATAAATGGCATTGCGGCTGACTAAAAAAAATGGACTTAGATACAGATAAATGGCATTGTGGCTGAATAAAAAAAATGTGTATGTGTGTTTTTGAAGTATTTAGGGCTAAAATATGTCCAGGATTGGCTTTTAAATACTACAAAAAAATGGAGTATGGCAAAATGTTGACCATTGTTAAAGCTCAGTGAAGGACAGGCAGATGCCAGTTGCACTCTTCACTTTTATGTACAAATTTTGGAAAATTTCACAATAAAATTTTTGTGTTTACATAAATGAAATAACATGGGAAAATGTTCTAAGGTATGTCAAGTGAAAGGAAGTCTGAAAAATAGTTTAATCCTACTTAAGTTTTTAAAGGTGTTACAGTGCATATTTCAAAACAATGAGGTTAGACTAAAAAGTGAACAGTGGAAAGTTCTAAGTTGTGGGCTTATAGGTAATCTTTATTTTTATGCTTTGCTGTATTTTCCAAGTTTTATTATTTTTTAAAAGTTTTCCAATATGTTTTACATCTCTGTTCTTATTTACCAGATAAACTTTGTGGTTAGTTACTGGATAAACTGTAAATAGTGATGAAACTTTTAAGTTTATCTCAAGATATCTCTTTGTTTTAAAATGAGTAATTATTAGGTTGGCACAAAAGTAATTGCAGTTCTTGCCATTGGAGGTAATGTTTAAAACCGCAATTACTTTTGCACCAACCTTATATTTCTAAAAGATAAAGTTGTAAACCTATTTGTTGTTGTCCTTAAGACCTGCTTCAGCAGAGTTGGCATAAATATGATGGTTTACACTGAAGAGTTCAGGACTACAACAGACCAGTTTGGAGGGGACGAACTACTGTTCACAGGCTTAAATCTAGCTGGAACATCACCTAAAATATGCAATAACATAAGACCATCCAAAGCAATGTCACAGGACTTACAATGTTTGCTAAGACGCAAGAGGGGTGTTACACAGACGCTAAGCGCCCCTAGCGAGGAGATCCTTAATCTCCTCATATCATCTCCGTGTTTCATTCGTAAGGATGCTGACATTGAACAGTGGGTTCAAAGGTTATCCCTTGTAATGAATTTCTCCAACATTTCACCTAGTTGTTTTATAACCATTGTTGAGCATTGTCTGAGCAGTAGTTTTAATATGGGGTTGCAGTTTTTTCTAATTCTAGCATTTCTTCATTCATCAACTGGAATTCTTTGAATAAAACTACTATCCATCCTTCACTAGAACTATTGACTATATTTACAGCACTCTGTACCCCTAATGCAGGGGTCGTCTTCATCTTCGCCAGATGATTTCCGCCCACACACGTGCTGTTGTCCCGGGGAGAGTTTTCCTGGCAAAGAGCTCAGGAATGTTGGATCTTTATCAAGGCTTTCTCCGTCGGGGTGGGTGAGTTGGCCTCCAGTAAGCCCCGCCCCACTCGGCGGGTAGGTGCTGCCGGGTCCCAGTTGCCCGCGACTTCCTAGAGCCACCGCTGCCTCCAGCTCCGGGCCCTCGGACTCGCGCGGCGGCCACCATGGACTGGACGCCGGAGCTGCTCTTCTACGTTAACGGCCGCAAGGTGAGCGCCTGCGGGCTGCCCCTGCGACCAGACATGCAGCCCGGGTCGGGGCAGAGAGGAACCCCTACCGTTCGTCCCATCCTTTCGTGCCCGTGCCCGTGCCCGCCGCTTAAGGCACTCAGGCACGGACCTGGCTTTTTCCTTTAACAGCGGCTTTGCCTTCGCTTTCTCACCCCTGCCTCCCGGGCAGGTAAAGGCGCCTTCGCGTTCTCACCCCTGACTCCCGGGCAGGTAAAGGCTGCGTTTTCAAGGACTGCTCTGGCTCTTTGGGCCCCCACCTTCCTCATGTTCCCCTTTCCTCTCCTTGTGAGGCTCACAGCCTGATTACCAACCACACGCCCTCCCTAAACAGTAAGGAAAAGAGTATTCTTGCCCATCAAGGTCAGCACTCCCAAACCTTCCCTCCCTCAGCTCCTGCGGATAACGGGAACGTCCCCTAGTACTTTGAGAGCAGCCTACAGAGATGTCTGAGCCTTAGCTCACTGGGTGCGTTTGGAAGCGCAGAGAGCAACTTAGAGTCGAGTCGGGACAGGACTGCAGAGACTAACACATTCAAACCATCGTTTCTCAGACGAAGAAATCGTCACTTTCCAAAGTCACAGCTAGTTCCTGGCGGAGCTGAACACAAGTCAGGCTCTGGAGGCTCCAATGTCCTCACAGGGTCCACTGCTGGGTCGGGCTCTGTCCCCTCAGAAGTTGGGCTTACTCTGGCAACCCGAGGGACAGTTCCAGGCAGTGTCGGATGTTTGGGGGCAGCAAAGCCCTGTGGGCATCCTTTAAGACACCCCCCTGAATGTGAGCATCAACTCTGCTCATTCTTAATGTTGTCCCAGTTTTAATGACACCACTTTGAAGGAGGGAACCGAGGCAGGAAGGTTAAGGAGCTTCCTTAAGAGTGTGGCTCATGCCTGAAATTAGCACTTTGGGAGACCGAGGCAGGAGGATTGCTTGAGCCCAGGAGTTCGAGTTTAGCCTGGGCAACATGGCGAAACGCTATCTCTACAAAAAAAATAGCCAGGTGTGGTGGTGGACGACTGTAGTACCAGCTACTGGCGAAGTGGGGGCGGATCGCTTGAGTCTTAAGATAGTTCCAGGTTACAGCGAGCTGTGATCACACCACTGCACTCCAGCCTGAACAAAAGAGCAAGATCCTGTCTCTTAAAAACAAAAGAAACAGAGCTAACAACCAAGCAAGACCAGTGGCACCTGCTTTCCCTGGTGCTTGTGTTGGTGCTGGTTCATTCACAGCCACCTGTGACCCCTGCTTCTGGCTAAGGGCAGCCACAGCACTTTTCCTGACCAGCAACAGCTGCCTCCCCTGGAAGCTAAACACGGTGAAGCATCAGACCCTAGTTGTGAGGCCTGTTCTAAGGCCCTCAGCCTAATATCATTTGTGGTTTTGTATTATGTTTCTTAAAAAGGATCCCCCAAATTGTACATTAGACCCCTCAAAAACTTTGCCCCTGCTGCCTGGGTTCCACATTGAACAAAATGAACTTGTTTTTCCTGATCTGTATTGGGGGTCATTAGGACCCCTTCACAGGACTGCTGTGAGGGTGAAATATGACAATGGAGTCAGGTGATTGACATTATGTCATTTTTTCTTCTTCTGCATAATGGAATGGTATAGTAAACAGAACACTGGCTTTGTTGTTCAAACAAGTCTTCAATTCGGCTTCTAATTCTAATTGAGAAAACCTAACCTCCTGGAGGCTCAGATCCTCTGTTAAAAGAGAATGATGCCACTTACTTCATAAAGAGTGATCATGAGCATTCAATCCATTTATTTGTTAAGGGCCTACCATATACCAGGCAGTGTTCCAGACTTATGAGATACAGCAGAGCACAGAAATAACAAGTCCCTGCGTGCATGGAGTTTAAATTGTGCTGGGGAGATAGCAAGAATATAAATACATGGAATTATGTAAACTCAGGAAGTGAGAAGTGCTAGTATAAAAAATAAAGCACAGCAGTGGGACAGAGAATGTGCAGGATACTTAGATGGGATGGATGTTTTGGCCTCTCTGAAAGGGTGGCATTTGAGCAGTGACTGGGATGCAATGAGGAATAAGCCATGCAAACATCTGAGGAAAGAGCATCCAGGGTGGGGATGGCAGGTGCAAAGGTCCTGAGGTGGAAGGATTTCTGTGTGCTTAGGAGGTAGGTTGGTGGAGTTGGCAACATGGCCAGGGTCCACGTTACTAGGACTTTATAGGTGATGGTAAGGGTTTGGGTTAAATGAAGAAATGGATTTTGAGTCTAATATCTCCTTGCTTCTCTTTCCCCTACTTCTAAACAAATATTGGGATTTTTAACATCCACGGCCAAGAACAGTTGGTGGTCTATTGATTTTTTAAATTAGATGAGATAGTTCTTACCTATGGGCTCACTTTGTCTATGGACCAAATGTCCTGTGGTTATTTGTAAAGTATACTATGGAGATACTGATTCTGTTTTTGCAATTACCCATCAAAAGAAATTGTTAACCTTTCCCTTTCCTTTTCCTCCCTTCTAAATTCTGTTGGGTATGTGCTTCAGTACTGGTAAACAAGCCTGATTACTTACATGGGAAGAACTAGAATAAACTTTTTTCTTTTTCTTTTTTTTTGACATTGAGTCTCACTCTGTTACCCAGGCTGAAGTGCAGTGGCGTGATCTCAGCTCACTGCAACCTCCACCTCCTGGGTTCAAGCGATTCTTATGCCTTAGCCTCCTGAGTAGCTGGGACTACAGGCTTGAGCCACCACAACCGGCTAATTGTTGTATTTCTAGTAGAGATGGGGTTTCACCATTTTGGCCAGGCTGGTCTCAAACTCCTGACCTCAGGTGATCTGCCTGCCTTGGCCTCCCAAAGTGCTAGCATTACAAGTACGAGCCACCGTACCCAGCCTAGCATGAACTTTTTGGTTTCAGAGAGTAAGGGACTGTTGAGTGTGAGAGAGAAAACCTACCTTAGAAGAGGGATTTTGATTTCAAATGCAATCTCTGGAATTAAAAACTCACCTTTGAAAAAGAAGGTTAGAAGTGAAGCCACTTAGGAGACAGTAAATGTCACGATTGGCTTCTATTCTGCTTTTTGCTAAATTTTCTCAGGTCACCAAAAGTTGTCATCAGGCAGATGGTATTACAGAGAGAGATTTCTGTAATCTTATTCACTCTACCAAGGCCCCCAGAAGAACAGATGACCCATTTAACATGGAGTTTTAGGGGAGAAGAGCCTGTGAATAAATTCTGCCACAGATGCCACATTCCAACCTCAACTTAGGAACTGAAGCGTATCATTTCATGAGGCAATGAGGTATGGAAATCAAAGGTATGGGCCTTGGAACTAGTCAGGCATGGGTTTGAATCCTGTGGTATCTGCTCTGCCACTTGGCAACTCTGGGGCCTCAGGCAAGGCATTTAATGTCACTGAGCTTCCGTTTTCTCCTTTGCAAAATGGAGCTAATAACAGAACATTTTCCCCTGAAATTGAGGGTGATTAAGTGGCATGGAGAGTGGTTAGCAAGGCGCATGTACGCAGTAAACACTTGATATGTGGAAACAATTGTTACTATCTGGACTGGAAAATTATCTGCTTCATTAGTAGAGCTAGAACCTGCTTGGAAGTGTCAAGATGACTGCTTCTTAGCAGTCATCTTGCATTATTTGTGCAATAAATGTAGACTTTTGGTATTGGCTTGGGAATCTGAAAAGAGCTGTTTATTGGCTAGCATTCTCTAAGGTTCTTGGTTTACAAGGCTGAGAGAGGAAATTTCTGGGCTTCTGGAATGGCTGTAATGATTCAGAGAAAAGAGGAGAAGATGGAAGTAGCTTAGGCAGAAGTAACAAGCAAAATGAATTTTAAAGCAATCAAGCTCAGGAAGATGTGTCCTATGGCTGTCCCCTGAGGCCTCTTTCTCTCCACTGAGGCTGTTGTGGATTATTGTTCTTTTCTACTAACTGCATCTCACAGCATACACCCCTTTCTTTCCTCTTCTACCTCTCAGCCTTGTCCTTTCACATGCACTTCTACCTTTTCCTTATTTTCTACTCTCTCCCCTCTTATCTCTCTCTTCCTTTCTCTTTCTGACTCTGTTTTGGATCTGGCAGGGACTCCTCAGGCACTAGTCACTGGCAGCACACAGAGGAAACTGATGTCTTAACCGAGTACAATGTAAACTTGGACTTGGTTACATTGGGTTAAAAAGGGCTGGCAGTGATACAGAGGGGCAGATTCCACCCTTGCAACATTCAAGGCTATGCTGAGATGAGTACAGGCAATGACCCTGACCTGTGAACTGGCAACATCTCTCCAATCCAGAGTCAACCAGAGTAACTGTTACCCAGCCCCGCTACACCTCCTAACCTCTATCTGAGTTCTAACCTCCCTGTTTCATTCCCAGAGCTGCCAGGACAAGACACATGCTAGATCCCTGCCCCCACTTCCTCCAAACGCAAACACCCACTACATCAAAACAACAAAAACATATTTCAAACCAGTGGGACTTTGAGCCAGATTCCAATCCCTTGAAACATTTCCTGGAACAAATACCCAATCAAGCATGACCTTCTTCCATGAATTCCTTCCTCAATTATAGAAATATTCCTCAAGCCTAAAATGCTATTCTTTGCTAACTAGGTACTAACTAGGCTATCCAGACTCTGTCCATCCATTCAAATTGGGCTTCTATGGTTTACCATCATATCTAGGAACAGACATTGTGAGGTTGGGGCAGAAGCTTTATGGTGTTATCTGAGACCCAGGTTTCTTCTCTTTTTTTTTTCTCTGCTGCCATTAGCATGTTGCCTCATGGTCTAAGATGACCGCTGGGGTTATAGCCATTTCATCCCTATTCCAAGTAGCAAAAAGGAAGGAAAGAAGAATGCATGCCAGGATAGAAAACCTATAGTTTCTGCCATTGATAACTTCTGTGTTTTTCTTTTTTATCATCTGTTCAGATGCCCAAGTCTGTGAGAAATTATTCCTTCTTGGTATCTCATACCAAATCATACATATCATGTTCTAGTCATTCATTTAATTAACATTTATTACATCCTGTGATATATCTCCACCACCAAGCTCAGTGTTTGACATAAATAAGAATAGCACAAGATGGCTTCTCTCAGGATCGAGATAGTCTTGTACATACACAAATAATTATGATACAGTGTAAAAAATGTCATAAAAGAAGAGGTGAAGACATCAACCATGGGAACAAAGAGGAGGGTGGTTACTTGGAGATGGGGGGGGTATTTTATGTGGCAACACTCTCCATAGAGAACATTTGAGCAGGGTGGAGAATGACACAAAATTCTGCCAAGAAGTGAGGAAGGATTTTCAGAACAGCGATAATTCAGAACCAAGGACAGTAGCACTTTTACCTCCACTACATGCAAAAAAAAAAAAAAAAAAAGTCCATATACCCCTGTGACTAGCCACTTCATCTGTGAAGCCTGAATTCAAATTTCTTCTTGTATTCTGGAAATGTTTGGCTATTAGTTCACCTAAGATCCACTCAGTGTACCTATTTAAAAAGCACATTTTCTGGTTCCCTCTACTAGAAATCCTGATTCCATAGAGGTTTCATTTTAACAAGCATCCCCATGATTCAGGAATTCCTAGCATGGCAGTTTGGCAGCCAGGAGCCACGTTAAATTTAGGCATATACATGAGATAATCAGGCTTGGGTTTTACAGCAGTCACTCTGGTCGTGGTGTAGAGGACGATATTGTGGTATCAAGAGCGGAGGCAGGGAGACCTGTTAGGCAGCTCTTAATAATCATCCAGAATATAGGTGATATGGGCTCATGGGTAGAGACAGTAGAAGAGAAAGGAGTCTAGAGTGTCATTGGAAGCCCAAGTGGAAGAACTCGGTGACACTGATTGT